GGATGAAGGAGACTTGTGTGTTTTATAGGGTGTTCAGTTCCACTGGCTGTTTCATTTGGTTTTATAATTGGTGTCATGGGGGTCTAGAGTTCTTGGATAGGCATCCCTTTTTATTATTGTAGAAAGCCAAATAAATAAATATGAATAAATATGTAAATAAGGTGCAAGGGAGTGGAGAATCAGGCCAAACGGAGTTCTGTTGTTGCAGAGCTGGTATAGGTTAAGTCAGAACCCACCCCTTCATTTGAGATATTTTGTTTAAGAATGATTGGTGAAGATTGCCATGTAGATTCTATGATCCTATGTTCCACAACATGATGTTACTTAGAAGGATGCCAATATCGTTTCAGTGTTTAATCATTAGAGACTGAGATGGAAGGTGTAATGTAGAGATGAGTCCAACACAACACCCAGGATACAAACTCCACCAAAGGTTTTGGAGTTCAGACCCAGATCCAAATTTTCTGTCTCTGGCCCACCTACAGTAGCAAGGCTAGAATCCTCCCATGGAAGTCTATATGGGTGGGCACTTGCATCTCCTTTTTCACTCTTCTGTCACTCTTCATCTCACAATGGGTAATGTAGACCCCAATCATAGTAAACAAATCACGACTATCACAATTCAACACTTGTTGACTGCGTCAGCAAGATATTGGTAGTTACTTACATGTCTTTTGCCAGTATAAATGCGCTTCATGATTTTTTAAAAATCCATATTTAGGGTCAAGCCACCATGATCCATACTCATCTGTAACCCTGCAGGGGCAAAGACCCTCTGTGCACAGATTTCCCCCCTTCAGCATGCAAGAGGGAAATCACAACTTCTGCAGCCCCCTACTTTTTATCTTCTCCCCGTTATTATTTGGCTTGGTCGGGTTGCTCCTCCCTTCTTGCAAATCTTTTAGCTCCTGTTAAATGTTTTAGTATTCCTGTATTTATTTGAATAATTTGCTCTGATGACGGCCCCCAACATTTCTATAGTTCATATTCTAAGGGCTGCAAAGGTTCCCACAGAAGGGAACTTTGCTTCAGCCTGACCAATCCTCAGGCTGTTTTAATGGCTGCACATCTGCTTCATGGTCAAATTTCCTAGACGGGTTAGAGAGCTAACCATATTCCCTCCACTATGACCTTTCTAGGCTCTCTGTGAATCCTGATTCCCCTTCCCCTCTACCTCCAGTGAGACCTGAAGGCTAATAATCTTGGGGGGGGGGTGTCAAAATAACTCACAGCTGCCATCACAGGGGAAGCTACAGAGGGGTCAGCAGCTGCAGGGGTTCATTGTACTCCTCAAAAGACACTTGTGGAGGTGTCATGGTGGATTCAGTTGAACCCTTCCACAGCAGGTCTCTTCTCTCTCTTTCTCTCAGCCTGGTAGTTAGCTAGGGAGATCCCTCCTGAAGAAATGTTAAGACAGGCACTCTTTCCACTGCTACTGGCTGGCGACCCCACCGCTACGTACGACAGTGGAGGGAGTGGTGTTATTGACTCTGTTTCTAGGGGTAAGGCACAGAGCTATTGGGAATGGAATTGCTCAGTGGCTGCTGCAGTGTGGTCAGTGTCCATACTCAGGCTCTGCTTACTTCTCTGCACATGTACAACTCGGCTGGGTCAGCGATCTGTGGGTAGGAAACTGAGGCAGAGAGAGACTAATGGCCAGTTTTTAAAGGTATTTAGGCACCTCACTCTCACTGATTTCATTGGGAACCAGGCACCTAAATACCTCTAAAAATCTGACCGTAAGTGACTTACCCAAGGCACACAGGCTGGCTGTGGCAGAGCAGGGAATTGAATCCAAGTCTCCTAAGTCCCAGGCTAATGCCCTAACCTCTGGGCAGTCCTTCATCTCTTGCTAGGGCCAACATTTTCAAAACTAATTGATGATTTTGGGTGCCGAACTTGAGACACTTTAAAGTGCCTCCTTTACAGAAGGTAGATTCGCTGCTCTTTCTGAAAATCACCCCTGCCCCCCTTTAAGGCATCTCAAGCTGGGGACGCCAAAACTGAAGCACGCGGAATCACCAGTCACTTTTGAAAATCTTGGTCTATCTGAAGCTCCTTTTAAAAATGGGCCCGGAGGTCTTCTGGAAATCTGTCCCCACTTGTGAGTGCTGAGTGTGAAAATCTGGCCCCCTGTGGAAGGCACCCTGCACAGGTGCTGAGCTTAACCTTTGCCTGTCCACACCTCTTCCAGCAGTGCTCAGCCACCTGCAGCACTGAACCTTTGGGGGGGGGGGTGTCTTCCCCCTCTTCAGTTTACTTTACACAATAAGCTCATAAACACCTTCCCATGCACCTAAGTAATTCAAGTCCATGTACAGCAAATAATCAATTTAATGTGTCAAAAGGACAATAAAAGCCACTGCACCCCAACTAGAGCCACCCAAACGGAAACCCCTTTCTGTTCCAAAAGAATGAGTGCCATATGGGCCTTGCAGCAGGGCCAACGCATGGGGGGAGGGCACGTAGGGTCATGCCCCCCCCCCCCGATTTCTCAGGCCGCCTCTCACTGGGAGGCCCAGCAGCAAGGGGCTCCAGTAGCCCTCACCGTGTGTCCATGCAGCGTGGGGAGGGAGGAAGCAGCAGGACGTCTGGCTGTGGGCTGAGCTCTCCACTCCCGCCCCCTATATGGAGCTGCTTCTCCTTCCCTGCTGCTGGAGTCCTAGCGCTTCCTGGTGCCCGTTTTGCAGACGGCCCACTGAGGTGAGTCAGGGGAGCATCTTCGAGATCGGGTACAGGAGCTGCGACGTGGTGCTCAGTGCCAGGCAGCTCAGGTGGAGCCCCATCCAGCCTGGAAGCCCTGGGGATGAGTGAGGGGAGCAGTCTGGGGGGAGGCAGTGGGAAAGAGGGGGTGGACCCTCCTGCTGCTGCTTCTGCTGCTGGGGGTGCATTGCAGCAGCCTCCAATGTGCCTATCAAGGAGAAGGCAGTTTGGGGGTGTCACGTTCCCTCCCCCCCCAACAAAAAGTGACTGATAATTCTCCAACCTCCTTGCTAACGGAGATGACCCAGCCCCAAGCACCATCGCCACCTACCCTGATGGGGCACGGGGGAGACTGTACATCCCAACTGTGTTGCCCCTTTTGTTGGTCTTGTTTTGAACACTTGCTAAATGGATTGTGGATAGTTCAGGCAGGGAGAGACGCCTGCAAGCTCTGCAAGGGGCTGGCCAGCCACAGGCCAGGGAGCAGGAGGAGGTAGTTGCTACTGTATGTTGTCTACATATGTATCAATTTTCGGGGGGGAGGCAGAGGCAATGTGTGTGACGGTTTCATGCCCCCACAGAACCTTTCAATTGCATGCCCCCCGCAATCCACAGTTACCTGTCACCTCTGCCTTGCAGTATGCTCAGGAAGTCAACAAAGTCAGGCTGTGTCAGATCAAGGTGGAAGCAAATTCCATTCCCTTTCTCCTCTGATGATGGGACCCTGAAGTTCTCTCTTAGATACCTAGGCTCTGTGAGGAGGGGTAGTGGTTTGCTCAATATCACAGCCAGCAACAGAACACCGATCTCCTGAGACCAAATCCACTCTCCTATCCACTGGGCAACACTGCCAAAGAGTAACACACTGAATGAATTAGAAGCGAATGCAGTCTTTGGAGCGCATGCATAATATACTCCAGACGCAATATATTGCTAAGTAAGTGGATAGCCACAGTCTGTGCTAGCTGAAGTACTCAGGGGGTCTTCAACTGTAGCCTCCCTGAGAGATCACTGCAATAATTGAATCAGGAGGTGACAGAGGCATCTACAAGAATAGTGAGATCAGGCAGAAAGGTCACAATTTCCTTGACACAAGCCCAGATAGGGGGAAAAAAACCACTTTTGGCCACTGTGACTTTCTGGATAGCCAAAAAGCCGCTAAGATCCTCATTAGCCACCTGAGGCCTGATTCTCATTTACACTTTACATCAACCTGGCAGTGTAAAGGGGTCTTATAGTGGGTGCACATGTAATTCAGGAGGACCAGGCTGCTAGAATCTGAACGCTAAGCATAGGCAAGAACATCCCTCAGAAGAAGCAATGCAACAGAAAGGACAAAGCACCGTACAAGCAATACTAAGAAAAAAAGCAAGGCAGGGTTGAAAAATAAAACAAATACAAATCCCTAATGATACACACAATAAAAATAAATCAGTTACTCTGAGTTGTTATTTTTTTCATTTACTATCCATTAGGTTTTCTTACATTCCAAAGAGGAGACTTCCATGTGAGACAGAAGACAAATTATTAACATTCCCTAAGTGCTCCAGAGAGCTGCCTTTCCTCTGATTCATTTTTGTACAGGGACAGCTCAAACTTTAAGTTCTCATTCAGGTTTTAGCTCCTGTGATATTTTTTCAGTCACAATGAAATTGTAGCAGCATCATTAATGAAGAGAAAACATGGACAAAGCACAGGTAAAAGCCATAACCACAGACAGCCTTATTCTTCCCTCACTTATGGAGATATACCTATCAAATCTCATAGAACTGGAAGGGACCTTGAAAGGTCATCAAGTCCAGCCCCCTGCCTTCACTAGCAGGACCAAGTACTGATTTTGCCCCAGATCCCTAAGTGGCCCCCTCAAGGATTGAACGCACAACCATGGGTTTAAGGAGGCCAATGCTCAAACCACTGAGCTATCCCTCCCCTCTTACATTAGTGTAAATAATTTCCTTCTTGAAGTCAGTGTTCGGGGCTATAAAACTAGTTTTAATGACTGGAGACAGAAACAGCAGACATGTGGAAACAACCAATTCTCAATATCACAAAGTTAGGCTCCTGTCGTACAAACACATTTTTGCATGTTCTAATCTTTGCTACTAGGAGTAGTTCCACTGATTTCAAAAGTTAAGCACATGCATAAGTATTTGCAGGGTTGGAGCCTTGATATGTAGTTGATCTTGAAAGAAAGTTAACGTTTTAGTTTTTGCTGTGGCATGGCAAGAAGATGCCAACTGCTGTCTTTTTACTGCCCAATTTATGAAAGTCAGAAGGCAACTAATGACTGCACATACCTGTGGAGAAATATTCGCTCATTTTCTTCTTGAAAATTTTGTAGTCAACCTCCAAAAAGACGCAGAAGATGACACGATCCATCTGTAAGAAACAATTATTCACAGTGAAACTAGAATAATAATAAATGTTAAGAATAATATTTAACAGCACAGAAATGTTTGAACTGACATTTTGTATGCCAGCTAAGTGGAAAAACATTGTGTTTTGTGTTTACTGTATGAGCTGTATTGTAATATTCAAAACACCATTTTTAACTGCAGTTCACTACTGTGTTCTTTGTTAAATGCCTATTGTTTATGCAAACCACCTCTGAGCATGGTATAAATGTGCTCTGGTATTCCAGCTGGAAGAGTCACACAAGGGGTGTCTAGCAGGAGTATAATAGAATAAATGGGTAAGCAAAGAGCTCTTTATTCAATCTTTGCCCAACAAACATATTTGCAAAACTATTTAGCATTTTAGAATGGCTTGAAAAGCTTTCGTGTGGTTTTAATTTACATGAAACTATTTACTCTCTATATAATATCGCCAGAAATGCAACAAAAACAAAAGCTGTTTACAGAATGAGCAGCACACAGGGTAAATAAAACATTTAATATGCCATATAGTCAGTGAGGCCAAGCATATAAATGGCACCATAACACATAATGTGTGCAGCACCCGCCACCTTTTAAAAATAAATTGCCTGCAAGATCATTATATGTGAAAAGGTTTCTCTTAAAAAGGGAGAGAGAGAGACACAGAGAGAGAGAGAGAGCAACAACTAAAGACTGAAAAATTGCAGGAGGCTCAGTTCAACCCTTGCTTATGTTTGTACCAGTCAGCATGACCCAGGGCACAGAGCCCCAGCAGCAGAAAGATCACCTACAACAGGGATGCAACACATGTACCCAACACATGTCCAGCCTGCACCTAGCCAGCATTTCCTCAAAAGCAAGTGTTGCTAGCCAGAAAGATCAGAGCAATGAGGATCCAGCCTCTATGCTGACAAGTCCCCTATGGAGACCTCACCACAGACCTCCTCCTCCCGCTCTGACAGGTGCACACACTGCCTTCCCCGATGGTGAATGGGGAGCTAGAGCCATTGTGCAGCTCAGGAATAACAAAGAACTGTCAACATGAAAAAACTCCTCCTAATCCTTACTAGAAAATCTTGGCCTTTCAGAAAAGCAGCTTCTTGGTAGAACTTAAGGGCCAGATCCTGTCCTCAAATACTCATAGACAACTCTCCTATCTCAGTGCAGAGAAATCCACCTTTCATTCCTCCACGTAGAGCAAAATCTATTTACCCTGGAGTGAAAGTGCTAAAAAAATGATGGAAGACCATTATGCTGGACAGTGGTAATGGCTACGGGTGAGTGAATCTTTGCATCAAAGAGAATCACAGCCCTTATTCAAGTCAATGTGCAAACCACTCGTAGGCTCAACTGAAGGCGCAATGAAGCCCCTTTAAGTAGTGAGACAGCTGGAAACGGGTGGCTAGCAACCAAGGCTCTTGGCTGCATGGAGAGGCCTGATCAGAGCTAACCTAGGTAGATGAGCATGGATTTCCCTGATGGAAAGCACAGGGCTAGGACGCTGGTTTTGTAGGCTGCGCATGTTAGAGTCAAAAGCCTGGAGAAACCTGTGAGCGGGACTCTGACAGGAAGCAGAGAGTCAGAGCTTCTTGAGCACAGTGTGTGCTGGGGAGGCACAATAGAGCATTTCTGAGCAAGGAAATTGCCTGCTGTTGTTTGTTTCTATTGTATTCAGAGAAACAGGACTTGGTGCACACGCTTTGTAAATAAACAAGATTACACCAGAGAAATACTTGATTCGTATCATCAGTTTCTCCTAATGGAAACAATCCTGAAGGGACTGAATATTAGCTAACTGCTTAGGTCAAAGGGGCAATGATGCAGTGTTTTAGAATGGAAGGCCCCAATCCAGGAAACATTTACATAGGTGCTTTGCTTTATCCATGGGAGTAGTTCCACTGAAGTTAATGGGGCTACTCACAAGTGCAAAGTGAAGGGGGTGTGTTTGCAGGATCAGTGCTTTATGCTTCATTTCCTTAATTTATATTGATTGTAAAAGTTGATTTCCCCAGTGATCGTCAGGTTAGCCTACATCATCATATTCGACCTTCACCTCCTGGGCTTATTGGACCGGGTACTCAGGTCATACCCATCACTATAGTATCCAAGGGTGGTGATAGTCAGTCTAACAAGGCCCTGCGTCTATAAGCACTTATCAACCAGAGAATTAATTTTAGTCATGCACACAGAAGTCTATGGTGGTCTCCATGTGTCTAGTCTGTTATACAATCCACATACACTCACAATATTTTATTTTAATTTGGCTTTATTATATGCTCGCTCTCTATTTTTTTTTTCTGTACACAGTTGACACCCTTAAAATATTCCATGAACTTGAAGGATTCTAGTGTTTCTAATGTAATGCTCTCAAAAGAAGGCATCTCTCTGGAAATGGCAGTATCTTTCAAACTGGTGGAACGTTTCCAGTGTCCTCACTGTACATACTCTATTTATAAACCTGTTCAATTTCTTCTCAGTGTGTGAAAAAAAGTGTCCTGTTTTTAAGTATGCATAGAAATGCTGTGATGACAGCTCAAATCCTGTGTTTATCTGATTGAATGGCATGTGTTGGCAGATAGTAAATCTGAAATTAAACCAAATTCTAGCATCCTGCCAGTCACTGAATATTTGAGCTGACATACCCAGCTAAAATAATTTGAAATTAGCTATGGAAAGTAACCCTTGTCCTCACCACTTCCATTCCAACCACATCAAGTAAAGGTTTAATCCAGCATAAAATCACTTGGCTGCTGACTCACAAAAGCTCAGCAGGACTTTTGGGCCCTGCATTTGAGTTTGCTACTCCTTATTCTAAAGGGCAAATCTCCTCTCTTGTGACTGTGGAATGCCAACTTGATTAGATATTTCATGCTGCCCCTTCACTGAGGGAAGAGGAATAATATTGAGGGACTCTACTTGGTACGCTCAGGGAATCTCCAATGTCTTATTGCAGGTGCTAGCTCTTCCACAGCTGAATGAATACCACTCAGTTGAGGAAAGGGTTTAAAGGGGTTGCAACTTGAGGGTATTCAGGCTCATCCTTGATTGACAGCTGTGTTCTGAAGGCTCGTCTTGGATGCACCCTTCCCCTCTCAGAGCTTGATTAAATTCTGCTCCTTGCACAGCTGTGACTAGGTGGATCAAAGAACCCCAAAATTAGGAGCCCTGCATCACAGGAGGCAGGGAGTTAAATTGCATGAGTCGTTTGCTTAGCAGGCAGCTTTACAGCTCCAGGCTGTGGAACATATTGATTTTTTTCCCTTGAGAACCTATGCTACTTGACAGGCACCATTTAAGGTTGAGAGGCATACCTTTCTTCTGATTTGGTTAGATGCACCTGATGCATGATCTACAGCCTTCTAGGCCATGTGTTACTTAGAAGACTGAAGCTGTTTTACACTGGACTGAATCCTGAGCCAGACATTAAGACCAGGTACTTTATTAGAAGGACACAGTGAACTTAAAAATCACACTGAAAATGTTTAACGGACTATGGCTACATATAACACCTAAGATGATCATAACTTGAAGCTGGTGAGGAGGAATACTGTATCCTATTTCTTTAGTTTTGTTTCCCAATGTGAATTTGAAAGCACTTTGTGTCTAGTGAGTTTCACCGTCTGCTTGATGGTCACTGTCTCGTGAGTTTGCAATGATAACTTCTTTCTGATGCACTGCTCTGAGGAGAGCTCACGTGCATGCTCTTCCCTGGCCCCTGCAAGAAAGTGTTTAGCAGTAACACAGCTGCTGATGCCCAGCTTGGTGCTAAGCAAGGGATCTGTGTTTCCCTGGACTCCCACACAGGGCCAGGAAGAAGCAGGAGCCTGGGGCAGCCAGAACCCCCGTCTTCCCTCTCCAGGACCTGCAATTGTCAGGTAGCAATAGGATCTGGGGTGGGCAGAAGGGTTCTTTACTTACCAGGCCTTTTCTGCAGGTCTAAGGAAGGCATTTGTTTAGGGTTGCCAACTTCGTAATATTTAAAAAACGGACACTCCAGCAGGAGCGAAACCTCCCCTTCCCCACCCCTTCCTCCTGAAGACCTGCCTCACCCCAGCCCTGCTTCTTCCCCCAAGGCCCCATTCCTGCCCTGCCCCTTCCCCCTGAAGCCCCGCCCCCATTCGTTCCTCTTTCCCCCTCTCTCTGTCACTCACTGCTTTTCCCCTCACCCCCCTCCCAGTGTGGGTCAGGAGGGACTTGCCTGGAAAGCCGGGGCTGAGAGCTGCAGCCACCTGAAGCAGGTAGGAGGTAGCCCTGGCTGAGTAGGGGCTGGCATGGGTGATGACTCGGTGCCTCCCACCCACAGTAACTGGACTTTGGGTGTCCCGGTCAGTAGATCTGACTGGTCACTGTCAGGTCGCCTTTTTGACTGGACTTTCCAGTCAAAAACGGGGCACCTGGCCACCTTACATTTATTTCACTCAGGTCTATTAATTAATCATGGCCTCTAGCCACAACATTATTTGTAGCTGTCTCTGGTGGTATGATGTCAGTCAACACCAGCATTAATCTGATATTTTCTTTGGGGTATTGCAGAATTGTACATATATATCCAACCCCCTTTTCATGCACAGTTTTAAAGAGAGTGCTCTGTGCATTTTAGTGTCTATATTTAGTATTATTTATATTATGATAGTGTCTTGAGGCTCGAACAAAATCAGGTCCCATTGTACACTGTACATACACATAAAAATAATCCCTGCCCCAAAGAATTTACAGTCGTAATATACAAGAGACACAAAGGCTGAGAGAAAAGAAGGATTATTATCCCCATTTTACAGATGTGGAACTGAGATACAGAGAAACGAAGTAACTACTCATGGTCACAAAGGAAGAGCTGGAAACTGACCAGAGATCTCCTGATTCCCAGTCTAGTGCTTTACTCAGAAGGCTATTCTTCCCTGTGTTCTAGTGACATTAGAACATGAAATGTAGCCTGGCCACTTGGAATCATAGAAGTGTAGCACTGGAAGGGACCTCGGTAAGTCATCTAGTCCAGTCCCTTGC